TTCTGCTAGGTTTAAGAGCCTTCCAAGAGCTGAGAACCACAATAGGCTAAAACCTGTATTTTTTGTTTCCAAATACGATGCCATTAAAAAATAAAGGGGGAAAGCACTGAAATATGTCACACAGTTTATAAAAAGGTTGTAGTTTAAAATTCTCAGTTCTGTAAGTTATGTGAACGCATTGACTTAGGAATTTTCAGGGTGATTTCATTCGACATGCAATTTGTACATCACTATTTGTAAATGTCTTTCTCTTTACACACACACACTTGTTCTTGTCCTTTTATTATTCAGTTCATTTTATTGGGGCTGCAAATTGAGCTTGTCCTATTTTTCATCGCTGGAAAGGCCTTAAAGCTTATGGGGATCTGTTTTCAAAAGCTCCAGGATATCTTTATAATATGGGGATGGACTGTATCTCAGTGGAAGAGGGCATGTTTTGCATGTAGAAGGTGCCAGTTTCAGTCTCCAGTTTAAAAGAATAATGTAGCAGGTGCCAGGAAATAGCTGCATTGAAGGCGGTTGGACTAGATGACCCCCGGGATCCTTTCCAACTGTGCAATTCTATGAGCTACTCTTCTGCAAGAGGAAATAACATAGCTTGGTCCTTTATAGTTTAGAAAAAAGATGAGTAATAGAGACCATGTTAAGAGGTATATATGGTGTAGAGAAAATGGGCCCTCCCACAATATCAAAACATGGGGTCTTCCAATGAAGCTGAGTAGTCAAATCCACACAGTTAAATTACGGAATTTGTTACCACGAGCATTGTGATGGTCACCAACTTTGATGGTTTTGAAAGGGAATTAGACAAATTCATGGAGAATTGGGCTGTCACTTGCTACCAGTCATGATGCCTATATACCTCGAGGTTTGGAGTCAGTGAGGAACCAGAACAGGAGACGACTATTGCCTGGCAGGCTAGATAGATCTTTGGTCTGTTTTTTGTAAGGCATTGTACCAGTGAGGGTGTGTTTAGTGATGGCAGAGAGACCTATGGGGGAATAATTCCTGGTTTTGCTCTGTGGCATCTTTGCAAGATGGCTTTGCTTATTTCTGCTATGCAACATGGCGTGCCCTGCTGCTATTATGGTTCGTGCCACAGATGATGCATGGTTATGCTTACAGCAATGTTGACTCCGCAGTATTGTTGCCACTTTGCTGACAAAGGGTCATCTGTTAGTACTGGTCAAATGGCATGGGCTGCAATAGCAGCCATCCTCTGAAATGCACTCTCAGAACTCTCACGTGTGCAAAGGCTTCTCCATTCATTTTAGTCGATTTATTCATTGAGATGAATGGAGAAGCCTTAGTATGTACTCACATCAAGGTGCTTTGGAAGAGGACCATAAGGAATAATTTGCTTTAAAAGTGTTAGTAAAGTTTATTTTATGGCTAGGATTCTCCCATCTCTTGAAGGCTGCCAACGAAAATCTAACTTCATAACATGAACAATGCTGAAGCTCAAAGAGATGTCTTAGGAATTGTCCTATTATGAAAACTTATGGGGGGGGTGGTGGAATTCATTTGGTTTCTGTTGCTTGAAAATGTATATCAAGTATTACCCTTCATATACATTCTATGTATGTAGAGAAAGTTTGCCACTAGGCTGGTAAAGTGTTAGCATCTCAGGATAAAATAGGAATATCAACGATTCAGCTTCATTTTATAAAATTAACCAAAATAACTTTCAGCAATAACTCTTGGGATGAGAAACAGGAAAGATTGAAATGCAAATGCAGTGAGAGAGCCTTGACCATGAAACGAAGAGCATTCCTGCACAGAGCAGCAGCTCTGGATATGAGTTTTAATTTCCTGAATTCCACCTACTATATACAAACGCTAGCAGACTTCCAGGCAGTAGCATCTGGATCCCAGGAACAAGTTTCCACATTGCCCCCTTGGCCTACCCTTCACATGTAAATTTTCCTGGTTCGCCATTTGAAAATGATCTCAATAAGCCGAAAACTCAAACGGAATACAATAACAATAAAATGAAATCTGCAAAGGGCAGAGACAACTGCTACATTTGCAGGGAGTGTGACAATGCCTAAACTGGCCCATGATGAAAAATAGAGATGAAAATGCATGACAGTGAACACTGCAATGCAATTTTCTTCCCGTTATTTTTTTTAAGCTACTGATTATTGCTAATATATGACACAGTTTGCCATGTAAGAGGGTGTGTAAACTGGGGTGGGGGGTGGGAAGTGAGTACCAAGGGACCTGGAGGAAGAGTTACATTTTGCCCCCAGGGCTGTGGTTACTCACCCTGTTCTATTGTGATGTGAGTAACAATGTGGTATTTCTAAGAAAGTGAAAATACTAACTTTTGAATATGGGTCATTGTGATGCTGCTGAGCTGAAGGAAATGAAACAAGTGAAAGTTATAAAACGCTGGACTCTTCCTATGGCAGTTTGCAGCCCAAAACATCTGGGCAGCGCTAGGTTGGAAAAGCCTGGGTCAGGCTAAAATGCTATTTAACAACTACTTCTTTGAGAGCCTAAGAATGGTGGCAAACATTGTGCTGCACAGAGGCTGAAGGGGAAGAATGGGAAACACTAAGGGCTTATCCATACATACCTTTTGCCCCACTCTTTCCAGACACAGGTCAGCACCTTAAAGCTCTGTGTCCCACTGCCCACCCCCCTATTTTGCTCCAGAGCTTTCCCTGTGAAAACCTGCTCAATCGGAGCGAATGTCAGTTTGGTATTTCCACAGACTAACATTTGCTCTGATTGAGCATTAAAGAGTAGATTTTCAAGGGGGAAGCTTCAGAGGGGAAAAGAGTGCTCGGACCCCGAGCTTTAAAGCACAGGCTGTACCAGTGGATGAAAGGTAAGTGTGGATAATAAGCCCACAGAGAGCTGAGTCAAAAACCTGCAACCTTTTTGATTGCAGCGTGCTTGAGGATAGTGTAACACAAGCAGGGACAATCTGATGCTAATAACAACTCTTTCTGCAAATAACGTGGAAATTACTGGGGCAGGGGGGGATGGAGTGACTTAGAACAAACATACCATGTGAGCTGCCTGCCACCACCAAGGAGGGGGGTTCATCTGTCTGCCAGTTCCTGGAAGCCCCTTACTTCCCAAACTATGGTCTGTGTCTAATGCTTAAGTGCCAGTTGTAGCAGTTAAGAAACAAAAGCACAGACTGCCATGAACCAAAATATATGCACAACAAGTTCATATGAGAAAGGGGAACTAATAGCCCTGGATAACTGACATATGATAGCAGAGTGGGAGAGGAGGTAAGACAAGAATCCTCGAGTTTATTCCTCAGGTGGAGACCAAAGCAGAGGAGCCTCCACTTTGGTGTATGTATCCTGGTCCCCCAGCCAACTAGCTCTGCATGAGCAAGTCAGCCAAATGCTGAGGCCTCCATAGCAGGTGGCATGGCTGGCAATTGTACCCTAAGATGAACAGCCACTGGCTATGCAGCCAACAATCACACCCGTTCCCTTCTCTCCCCCATGCTGGGCACAAAGGGATGCTCACTGCCAGAGGGGTGTGGATCTGGGCTTCTTGGAAAACATTCGTAACATGGAACATCTGAAAAATATGTTCCATGTAAAATTGATCTTCACACTTAATTTATTTTGACATTTTCGTTTGATTTGACAGAAAAATTGTGGAGAGATACGCAGAGGCTTTCATCATCCAACATTGGTTTTAATTATGTTTCTTTTTCCCTCCCTTATGAACTTTAAAAGGGTTTGTTTATCTCACAGCAATCTCATCACATTTAATCATCTTTTATATGCAATGTTTTTATAAGTTGGTGTTATGTAAAAAAATGCAGCATTTGCTTGAATGAGGGAAGAGCACAGATTTGTTTTGTATCTTTGGCAATGCTTAGACTCCCCCTCTCCCCGCTCACAAATGGCTCGATTCTGCTACCCACATCTATGTGTAGCATCCTCCTCCTCCACAAATGATAACTAAGCCCAGGAAAGCTATGACAAGTGGAGAATAGTGAAGAATGCCTAAAACTGAATTATGAAGCTGGAATATTTTACGAATAAAACTGAATTATGAAGCTGGAAAATTGTGGAGAGATACGCAGAGGCTTTCCGCTCATACGTTAGGGTTGGGAAAATCCATCACTTGAACAAGAGGAATAATTCATCAGATGGCTGATTGAGGATCAGTGCAATACCATTAAAAGCATGGTTATCACGAGGAATTCCTGCTGAGTTCAATGCAAAGGTGCCAGATAGGTGTGCATAGGACTGCACCATAACAGCATGGACTTGAGCCCCTTGAGTCATTTAAAACAAGAACCAGCACGACTGTTTGTAAAATCCACCATCGTCAATGTTGAACCATCAAGTTCTAGTTAGACTACAACTCCCATTAGTTTGGCCAGAACAGCCAATGCTGAGGCATTACGGGAGTTGTGCTCAAAAACATATTGAGATTCCTGCATTGCAGGGGTTTGGACTAGATGACCCCAAGGACAGTGGCGTAGCGTGGGGGGTGCAGGGGGGGCCGGCCGCACCGGGCGCAACATCTGGGGTTAGGGCAAATCCACGGGTTAGGGGGCGCAAATCCACAGGTTAGGGGTGCAAATCCACGGGTTAGGGGACGCAAATTACTTGCCTTGCCCCAGGTGCTGACAACCCACGCTACGCCGCTGCCCAAGGATGCCTTCTAACCTGACAGTTTATGATTCTATGGATATCTGTAGGACGCCTCACTGGCCACTGAATAATGGAAGGGGTTATGTTTTGATTTGTGCATTAATCTTGGTGGTGTTTGTTAAGTCAGGTAATTTCATTTGGTCTGCATTTCTACTTATCTTCATCCCTATATGACACAATATGAATGGCTATTCTCTGTGGCAGGCACTTACAGAATAGATAGGGCTGGCTACAAGTAAATGTATAATAATATAAAATGTATCTCCATTGCCATACGTTAAATGCATGTTTGTTTCTGTGGTCTGTACTTGAAGTTATCTTACTCTCTTTCTTTCTGTTTTTCCTCCCTTATACCAGAGTAAGCTAGCTGTATACAGCAAGATGCAGGAATCTCTGGAAGCGACCCTTCCTAATAAACAAGAGGAAGATGAGAAAGACCAGCCTACTGATATGGAGTACCTTAACTCTCGCTGCGTCCTTTTCACTTACTTTCAGGGTGATATTGGGTCAGTAGTGGATGAACACTTCTCAAGAGCTTTAAACCAAGCTAGTCGCTTCAGTCCAGAGACTAACATTTCAAAAAGCAAGACAGGGCTATGGAGAGGTAAGGTTTATAAGCAAAACTTGGTTACATTTACTTTACTTTATTCCTTTGGTTTTGTGAGCACACAAGTTGGGTTTTATATATGCCTTCCGGTATACATTCTTTTTAAAGATTAGGTTGCCATACAACACCTGGATGGCAGGACACAGATACACAAAAATCTGACCTGCAAAACCAGTGTTACCCATGCAGTCTGATTAGCCACATGCAAAATTTGGAAATTCCTGGGGAAAATTAGGAGAGGAATTCAACATCACACTATTATGATTGTTCCACTAGTGTAAGCGTTTTTCCTTGCACTAGAAGAAGAAGAAGAGTTTGGATTTGATATCCCGCCTTTCACTCCCTTTAAGGAGTCTCAAAGCGGCTAACATTCTCCTTTCCCTTCCTCACTCTGTGAGGTGAGTGGGGCTGAGAGACTTCAAAGAAGTGTGACTGGCCCAAAGTCACCCAGCAGTTGCATGTGGAGGAGCGGAGACGCGAACCCGGTTCCCCAGATTGCAAGACTACTGCTCTTAACCACTACACCACACTGGCTCTCACTAGTGGAACAATCTCCCCTCTCCTCCTGCATGCTGTTATTACGATTCTCCTAACCCAGGGGTGCCCAAACTTTTTTCAAAGAGGGCCAGATTTGATGAAGTGAACATGTGTGAGGGCCGACCAAAGTTATTGATCTTTTTAAAGAATTGAACTTGTTGAGCTTTTTTAAGGATTTGACCCCAATAAATGAACTGCCATAGGGGCCAGATAAAACTGGCCAGGGGGCCAAATTAACAGACTTTGGACATGCCTGTCCTAACCCTTCTAGAGCCAATGGGGGTGGGGAACCCCTTTGCACTCTCCTCCTGAATGCTATTCTGATGTCTTGCATTGGCTCCCACTAGTGGAACTGTCTGGTTGAAACCAGCTCCTACCTTTTACCACGAAAAGAGATGTGATGCAGGAAATCTGTAACTAGCATTTTCTTCTGCTCTTTTTCTTAACTAGCAGCCTCGTGCAGTGGCTTTGATAACTAGAGAAATAGTACTTGGAGAAGGTGCAAAACCCACTTCTCCGATGCTATTTTACCTTTCTGAATTGCCCCTCCCAACTGTAACTAGAGCAATGGGGAAACCATGCAGGTACCAGACATGTTAACTGCCCCATTTTGTCCAGCTCCACTTTTCAAATCTTCAGAGCAGAAATATGGGGCTCCCAATTGGTAATAATGAAACCTACAGGGAGATCCTATGCTTGTGGATTTTATGTGTTGCGTTGAGTGTGACTCTCACGTTACAGAATTAGTCTCAGAGAATGGGAGGTTGCCATGTGAAAAATTCTTTAAGATTCACACCTTTAAAATGTTACTTTCCTGCAAAATATTATAGTGTGACGATGCAGGAATTGCTATCTTATCATCATGCTAGATAGTTTGGTGGGTGAATAAGCATCATGACTTCGGAAAGAGCTGGCCGTTCCAGACAGATGGGATTGCTTAGTTTTACAGAATTAATGAAAACTGGAAAATGAAATGGGCGTGATAGTTGGGATGTACGGTATTTGGTTTTCTCCAAGCAACTGAATGCTACCAAAATGGGTATAAACAGTATCAATATTATCAAGTCAGTTAAGTACTTTATTGAAATCTCAAAACCTAAATCAAAGAACGTATGAACACTTAATGCCTGAAATGATTGTGTCCCGCATTTACAGCTGAACTATTACATTGCCGAATAGCTTTGAGAAGGAATTGCACTCCTTTGGCTATCTTTAGCGCAAGTGTGGGCAGACTGCAGGCATATTGAATCCATTTAGGGGTTTGTTTGTTTTTTGTTTACTAAAACCCCATGATCCACCCTTAAGTTCTTTATGCTTAGAATGGAAGAATTCTGACCTTGGTGACAGATAATATGAGGATGGGCAACAGCGGATGGCATGATGGGGCTACACTGCATACCTGACCTCGCCCCACCCAGCCAAGACACTGCTGCATCCTGGGCTGGAGAGCAGGAGTGAGGTTGGCAGGGTGCAAATGTGCCAGAGGAGCTAATCTGCTGTTCCTGCTGGTGTGTTTGCACTGTGCCAGTCTCTCTGCTGCCTCACCCCTTCTCATCTCAGTACACAGCACAGAATTGTTGAGCTGAAAGGGGACGCCAAGGGTCATCTAGTCCAACCCCATGCAATAAAGAATTCCTGACAGATGGTCATCCAGCCTCTGTGTAAAAACCTCAGTTTTTCCGCCATCTTCCGCAGCCGCTGTCCAGAAGGGATGTCAGATAAGCCATGCAGCCTGGCCATGTTGTCTGCTACTGAGTAAAGGAACTGAACAGAACTCACCATCCTTCCATACAAAACTCTGTTCCTAGCTATCCCATATTTTTCATATTGGCAGTACAATGAGTGTGCCATTTTGTTGCTGCTACTGCTTAACAATTAGGAGTGATAAATCCTTTCTGATTTACTGCAGTTACATAGAGATCTACTGGTAGATGCAGATTTACCTACAGCCACCTCTGCTTTAGCATCTTAACTAGCCATCCTAGTGCAATTCTCAGGTGACTCTCACCAGAGAGGAGATGATTTCTGAGAAATTAAAAAAATATATATGTAAAAATGCCAAGAGATCACCTCACCAGATAGGAAGCATCAAAATTGTCTTTTATGAGGTTTTTTTGTTTAAAAACAACAACCAAAAGAGATTAAGAAGTTGTCTCCAAGAATTTGGTTGTGCAAGAGGTGAAATGTTTATGAATTGGGTGTGGAAGCATGATGACATTTCACAAATATTCAAGAATGTTATTTTAAAGCTCTACAGACCTAACATTCTCCATGCACATTTAGCACAGAACAGAGGAGTGCACTTTTATCTCTTGGACACTGAACACCATTTCCCATCAGTTATATGCGAAGGCAAACTTAAGGTCTCCAGAGTTCCTGAAGGATGGGAGAAATGGATTTGACTGTGTTGCTTCCCTTTCTGTGGTTCTCCTTCCAAAGCCTTCGTCTTCTGCTGAGCCGTCCTCATCAGAAAGTACACTGGGCTAGATAAGTTTTTTTTCCAGGGCATCTTGAAGTTCTGTTGAACTCAGGTGTAATAGGTTCTGAGTAGAATGCTTAAGTTGGTCACTGCACAGCTCTCTACTGGGATACATACAGTAAGGGCTTCAGTGGGACACATGTATATTTTTTGATGTACAGTTGATTAACTTTTGTTAAAATTGAAGTCTTATTTTTAAAAAAATAAAAATAAAAGGTTAATGAGGAAATCCATTGAAAATTGTAATTTATTAGATATGAAAGCTCTTTAGCTTAATAAAACAAATAAACCTTTGCAATTGTCAGATAGATAGATAGACAGACAGATAGATATATATGGGCGGGTCTGATAGACACCCCGCTGAAATGTTCTTATTTTTGTGATATTTCTGTGACTTTATTTCCTCACCATCAGCTATAGGCATCTTCTTCCATGGCAACATCTCTAGCTTCCCTTATTTCCCCCAAAGCATCTTCCTTTCTACTTTACTTCAAACCAAGCTTTGGGCAAGAATACTAGTAGTATCTCTGCCAGCACTATCATTACATAGTAGAATCATTCACCACTCCTTAGAAAGATGGGATTTAAAGTATGTGATTTCATAATATAATGGCTTTGGACTTGAGCTGTGCTTGAATTGCAATCTGCTTAGTTCTAAAATCAGCTGTTTTGTTATATTTCCAAACACATTTAAAAATTTGCTGATTAGACACTAAAGTGGCCAGTTACTTACGCCCTTTTCGGTGAGCCCTGGGGTCTAAAAAGAATTTTAATAAAATAGAAAAAAAACATACACAATAAATCTACAATAAACTTAAGAGACGAACAACACAGAAACCCAAATACAAAAGCAGCGCAATGAAACCAAAACAACAAACTGCTGTATAGCAAAGAACTTTAAATAGCCCTTAAATGCATATATTAAGACTGCTACTGTGAATTAAATATATATCTTAAAGAGGCCTGGAAGAACATAAAAGTTTTAACCATGTGAACTTCCCTAGGGAGAGCATTGCATAGTCAGAGGGCCACCACCAAAAAGGCTTTCTTTCTCATAGTTGTCCTCCAAGCTTTAGTTTGAGGAGGCACATGAAAAAGGGTTTCTGGCAGGGTCCAGTTACTTGTGCTTTCATCAACATTTTTAAATAGTTGTCTATGGAACTTACGTTTGTTTCTTTATTCATGTTAGCAAAACTGTTTATTATTCAAGATCCATGGAAGAATTTATCATCATTTTGATGTTTCTTTTAAAAGAGAATGCAACAATCGCAAGCCAGAGGAGTGGTTTCCCAGCTTCGTTTTGGACCAGTTCTTATCAAACTCCACCTCCACCATGCTTAAGTGGAGTTCATCATGACTTTCCTGTTACTGCACCAGGCACCTTCTCAGCAGCAGATCCCAGCAGCTGGCCAGGACATACTCTGCATCAGACTGCTCCACCTCCTCCGCCGAGTATGCCAGAATCTTGGCACTATCCATTAGCATCTCAGGTGAGCCCTTCATATGGACACATGCATGATGTATACATGCACCGCCACCATCCTCATGCACACATGCACCATCATCACCACCCGACTTCGCACCTTGACCCACGGTACAGATCTTTGCTGATGCCTTCAGTTTGCGCAGGCAAGATTCCTCCACCACAGTGTGATGCAACAAAGACAGATCCTACTGCTGTCACCAGTGCTACCTCAGCATGGGCAGGAGCCTTTCATGGAACAGTTGACATTGTGCCAACTTTTGGGTTTGACACAGGTAAGCTGCAGCTTTCTCTTTTACGTGGTTCGTATTTTAGGAAACATATGTCGTAACCAAGCAAATCCTCAAGACCTCCACTAATTCAGGGGGGGGGGACTATGGCACTGCAGATGTTGCTGGGCCCCCATCTCCCATCAGCCACCATGGTGAGTTATAGTCCAAGGCCAACTGAGGGGGTCACAAGCTCCCCACCCTGATTCTTTCACCTGATCTGTTAGATATGAATCCCTGATGTAGTTAGAAAGGGTTGAAGTTGCAAGAATGCTAAGATTTGCAATGATGATCTTGAAGAATTAGTTCTTTACTCCCACTGAAATCATAAAGCAGACAAAACATATAACACGCTTAATACAGGCAAGCAATCCCAAGGTTCAGAGCTCTATTGTGTGTAGCAAAAATTTAACCACAAACATCCTGTTCTTATATAAAGTCAGTAGGAACCAGATACTTGCTTTCTTGTTTTGCAGTTCTAAATACCCTTCCTTGTTCCTTTTTTCAAATTAGGCAAACTTAGGATTCTTCTTTCTGTAAGCCTGCATTGAATCTGGTTTCTTACTCAATCCTGTTTGAGAATGAGATGTTCTGAATTCACTCAATGTGGACCCAAGAGATCATAAAATGTTTTTCAAAATCCAACCCAAATGTCATGTATAAAACTTCCCCAAAACAACCCAGCATAAAAGAAAGCTGTCATTCTACAGGGCAGTCTTCCAAATAAATTTATTCCAAGCACAAAACATTTTTTCTCAAATTACCTTTATAGATGCGGCTCTGCCGCACCTATACAATCTAATTTCATTGCTTTTGAGATGCTCTCTGAATTGGAAGACAAAAGTTTTTCCCTGTGAGCTCCATACTCAGGACCCAGAAACTTTGTACCATTGGAATGACATCTGGTCTCATCCATTACCCTGCTGCAGACATCCCAGCAGGTCTAGCTAGCATTTGAACCACAAAGAATTGCATATTAAGTATACATATCACGTTACCTTGTAGTAATTCAATATTCATTCTCTCTCTCATGCATTATGTTTCATGGTCCCTTGAAAATAGATTAAAGTGGCCACTTGTGTATTGCTAAAAAAAGAAGCTATGCATCACCAAAAAAGAGGACACAGATTTGCATTTACTGGATTTGGGTAAAAAGGTAAAGGATCCCTGGACAGTTATGTCCAGTCAAAGGTGACAATGGGGCTCATCTTGCTTCAGGCCAAGGGAGCCGGCATTTGTTCACAGACAGCTTTCCAGGTCATGTGGCCAACATGACTAAACCACTTCTGGCACAGTGGAACACCATGTCGGAAACCAGAGCGCATGGAAATGCTGTTTACCTTCCCACTATAGCAGTACCTATTTATCTACATGCACTGGTATGCTTTTGAACTGCTAGGTTGGCAGAAGTTGGAACAGAGCAATTGGCGCTCACCCCATTGTGTGGATTTGAACTGCTGACCTTCTGATCAGCAAGCCCAAGAGGCTCAGTGGTTTAGACCACAGCGCCACCACATTTACCTTTACCTATACTGGTTTTATGTATAAATACAAATAACAGAAATATAATACATCTGGGAAAGGCTGTGGCCAGGTGATCATTTTGCCTGCTTAGTCTCCTGTCTGGATGCTAACTGTTGATGAGAAATAAGTTACCAATCTATTGGTTCTTTACCTTTAAATGTGACATGAGTAGACAGACAGCCCTTCAACTAGAGCAGGAATGGGGAACCTTTGGCCCTCCTGGTGTTGCTGAACTACAACTCCCATCAACCCCAGTTGTAGTTCAGCAACCTCTGGAGGGCCAGAGGTTTCTCACAGATTAAATAGAGGACACCTTCATGAGGACTGTCCTCTGACAGTCCTTCAAACAGAGCCATCCTCTATAAAGTATGATACACAGCCATCCGAAAATGGATTTAGAGTCACGCTGGAGCCGTGTCTTGAATGTGTACCAACTTTCATTCAGATATCTTTGTCTTGAAGGCAGATGTCATTACCACAAAAAACCTGAAGATCCCAAGCAGTCAGGTTAAATCAAAGGCCTTACTTGGCGTAGGCAGTAATCTGTAAATCACTCCTAACTGATAGAAGGTGTAAAGGCCCGCCTTGCTGTTTGTCTCCCAGCAGCTGGTATTCAGCATCATACTGCCTTTGAGTTGAGATATTTCATTTACTTAGTTATCACTAAGTTATGATATGTGACAGGTGAGTTTGCAGCTGGTTTTGACTTGCAAAGCTTTATGCATCTCAGGAGCCCAATAAGCTCAAGGATCACCTCTCTCACACAAGCCACCTCTGATCCTGTGATCATCATCTCCATGTGCCCCCTCCATGGGAGGTCCAGAGGGTGGCATCCAAAGAACCTTGTACATCTCCCAGAGTGTTTGAGCACTTGTGCCTGTCTTTTTACACATCTAGTGGAGAACACTAGTATAACACAACTGTATCAAAGGGCAAAGCAGTCATTGCTGACCTGAAAAGTGAATTGGGAAAAAAGGGCACATGTCCCATGAAATAACTATAGAACTGGCCCATACAACTGCATAGCTCATTCAACTACAGTGAGCCCTGCCAGCCATTGATCTGAGAAAAGTTGCTTACTCTACTTCTCCCAGATCTGGTGTGGAGAAGTGGCAGAGGCTAAACTTACTGGGTTAGGACCTAGTTCAAGTGATGCTCAAGCCAAGGCAGATTGGGCAAAAGATCGAGGCTCACATATAACGTGCAATTCTTGTTTGCCTTTGCCTGTTAATATAGCGTAGCAGACTACAGACTTTAGCAAGCAATGCTACATCTTAAATTGATTCTCCTGTACTTAAAAATAAAACTGTTGTTCCAATTCTCAGACTGCAGTTTTTGCCATCAAGGATAGGAAACCCACCTTGTTTTTTCCATACAAGTCTGACATTACTGTTTGCAGGTTTAATATAAGAGTTTATATGGGAAATAGTACAGTAGATGGCTCTCACAAGTATACATCATATATATATAAAAGTTGTACCATTCACATAGTATTAGATGATAGTCCGTTTCTTTTAGAAGGTTCTTTGGATTTGGGTTTCAAAGAACAGTGCAGTGCAAATGCCCTGTCTCACATTCTTGAACTAACTGCTACAACCTAGCAAGCTTCATTCTCACATTCTCCTTTATCGGGGAGAGAGTAAAACAGCGCTGCTTTTGCTGCCTCGGGACATTAAGAAAAAACAGCACAACCAAATCCTTAAAAGATCTGGGCAATTCTATGGCCATTAATTATGTTTGCAGCTGTACAGATGACACAAGAGTAATTAAATTTCATGCTCCAGGTTGTAAAGTGATCGTCTGCTATGACTAGGAGCAATTGTTAGCCCCTTCATGGGGTCTGCCTTTTGGCAAGGTGTATTTATGAGCAAATTTCAGCTGTCTATGACTCTTGTCATAGAAGGCAACATAAAGGTGCATCTGATAGCAATTCCAGTATTCCTTGCTGTCTAGACAATTGGATTGTCTGTCCAAGGCTGAATAAGGAATCTTGTTTTAAGATTTTTTATTTTATTTTTTTAAAAAGGAAAGGCTCAAAAACCCTGAAAGGGGCTGCAATTTGTTCATGGGTAAGTGAACGTAGGAAGGAAATGAATTAATATTTTGGGATGGGGGTGAGTGAGGGATGGCTCTGATTTAACTATTGTTATAAGAATAGAATGCTAATGGCCCGGTCCAGCTTTTCCATTTCAGAGCTTGGGTACAGGGGTCAAAACTGAGGATGCATCGTCAATGATGGATCCAGTCCATAAATGCATGCGTAACATTTAATTATGCATGCAGTACTGACTTCAGGTTTACCTGGACACAAACATAAATGGTAATGACCATATTATAGCATGGCATATATTAATCAATTAGCTTGCATTTATTTGAACTCAGGGTAGGCTTTCCCCACATATGTAAAACAGTGACAAGTTCCTGTGCGTTTACTTTTTATTAATCCTTTAGGGATGGAAAGATGGTGGAAGAAGAGGAACTTGTGGCTCTTTAGACATTGAACTAAAAGTTCTACCACCCCTGCCCATTGGACTGGGGCTTGTGGTGTTTAAGTGCTCCTTACCGTGTTCATTGCCCTAATCCCAACAGAGCTAGCATGTAGATGTTATATGCAATTGTGATGACTCATAGAGAGCTTTGAAATGTTATGTCCACTCATGGAACACTGCCTGGGGGAAGGGATTTCCACAGTCTACACAAAGATCTGTAACCATTGAATAAACACTGGGGCTCGGGGAGAATTCACACAAACATTTCTGACAGAAGCAGCTGCTCCAGACTCATCTCCCCACACCCAATATTCACAAGTGGCAAAGTTTTCTTTTGAGTCTGCATCAATACAGCAAAATCTCTATTTACCTACATCCATAATGATTGAAAATGAAAACTAACATTATCAGGGACAAGATTCCGTGCATATATCTCTACCTATCATCTATCTATCTATATCTATATATCTCACTGAGCATTAATGAGGGAAAAAAGTAAATTGTGTCTTTTAAGACTACGAATTTGCTCTCAAGAATCACTGCCTAGATTACTCCTAGCTCCTGAGAAGGACATATTCATTAACTGAGGATGCAGCAGACCAGATATGAATACCCTTACATAGCCTTGTTGATGTTAAAAGATTACAAAACTACACATAAATTAATCTGGGCCAGTTCCACAAAAGTATAAGGAAATGATTCAACAGTAAGTAATTTCAAGAGTGTTCCCATCCCACCCCCTTTAGTGCAGGAACTTCAGCAGAATCTTTAATTTTGCATAAATGTTTTTAATAACTTATTTTATTAAAAGGCAAAATAGACCAAAGATAAAGGTCATAAAGAAATATTGTTTCAGCAGGTTGAGATCAGTATAAGGTTGGACATTATCAAGGAACTTGTATGTTCCAAAACATTACAAAAAGGTACCCATTTTTTCATAATAATATCACAGAAATATTTATGTTTAATTTATTAAGATAGAACAGATAATTGGCTCTTTCAGTTGTCTCTTTGCTTAAAATTTTCAATGATTGTTAGTGGATTCATCTTTTTGGTAAAGTTTTGGGGGGAGCTATTTTTTTATGCATTTAGGAAGTTGCTTGTTTTTCATAGGCTCTTTCAATTTTTTATTGCATTGGGCAGCCTTTTATATTACATTTTGTATTCATTTACTGTTTTATTCTTCTATATGTTTTTATGTTTGCAACAACTAAAAATAATGGGGGGTGGGGAGGCAAAAGTGGTTTGAAAGGCACATTTCTGATGGGGTTCTTCTCTTATTAGGGCTGTCCAAATACATTTTGCTCCTTGAGGTGAAAGACATGTTGAAGCCTCTCTTCATTCCATGTAGAAAAGCAGGTCCTTTGGAGGATGTGTGGCCAGTGCATCTCTATTCAGTCCTTGTCCCTCAGGATCTGAGGTGGCCACTTCACTTAGCCTAATGGTCAGTCGGTTGGCCAGATTTTATCCTACTCTCACCTCTGGTCAAGCAAGCAGTGCAGGTTTCAGAAATAATGCAAAAAATCTGCCAAATGTGTGTACCAGAAGCAAAAGTGGGATGAATGTACATGCAGTTCTTCTTCTTTCAGACTACTTTAAACTGAAGTTCATGATGCATCTCAGGCACATAAATGTCATTTCTTAATGAAACCAAACCAATGTTTATGTCAGATGATTTAAATCAATATGTTTTGAGTCTAGTACTACTTATTGAAATTGGACGGGGGGTGGGGAGTCAACTACAGTACAGTCTATCACAGGTGTAATTAACTTTTGTCCCAGAGTATGATCTGATGGTACCTGAGGCCACCACCCAACTGAAGCTAAGCAGGTATGGGCGATGCCTGGATGGGTGACCACCTGGGAACCACGTGTATGTTGCCTTAGGTTTCATGGTGAGAGAAAGGTGGGATGTAAGATGATGACTGATTAATCAAATTAAGCCACTCAAACAATGCAAGTTTAAACTTATTTCCTCTTCTCCTTCAAAATAGGCATCCAACATCAGGACAAAAGTAAGGAGACATCATGGTTCTGAAGTACCAAAAAATGGATTTTACCAGTAACCAGTGTTAAAAGAGTTCCCATCTTGTGAAGGAGATACTACAGTATTATTATTTTTTACTGTTTCTTCACGGTGGCAATAAACATTATACTAAGCAGATGATGAGCAAACCAGCCATATGTTTTTTGGATGGAGCCTTTACCTCCAGAAGGTCATTTTAAAGTCCCAGGACATGAAGAAAAAATCGAAAACCTTTCTTTTGTATATCATTTGTCATCTGAGCCTGCTAAAGCATTTCTCCAATCTAACTTCTCTATGCTCCTTTTAACAGTGTTTTGCTTAGATGTGTGCCATGGTCTATATACTAACGCATACCCTTGACTGTCAGGAGAGACCTAGCTTTGAGCTAGAGTCCTCCTTCAGGAATGCAGTTTTTGTAGTTCTTTATGCATCTATTTTTGTAGAAATACAGAAAGTTTGCATCAGCACTGGTGGGCTATTTTAGAACAATGTATTTTTTAAAATTTAAAGTTTTGAAAATTTTAAGTTCTGTTTTAAAGAACTTGCTCTCAGAGACGCACTGGCAAACCTTTTGAAATGCATAGGTTTTTAAATGTCTGATGTGGTTGTATGAGATTTTGTTGTTGTGACCTGAAGTATCTTGTCATGATCAAACGGTTCAGTCCCCCATATAACAACCCCACAAGATCTTGAATGTACTTTGGCTTTCGCTTAAGCAATTGTTCAAATGTAAAATAGTGTCTACGGCAGTGCTCTTTCGTTGAAAAATGACTATTTGCTTTGCTGCTTCTGATGACAACTTTGAACTGGGTACCTGATAAGAATATGTTGCTGAAACAATGAAGTACAGACGCTTTTAACTGAAATCCTAAACAGATGGGTAGCCTTGAGCCTTTAAATTAATCTCAGCTGCAGTGTTAACATGACAGTAGCTGAAGAGAGATGCAGCACCTTGTTGCTTGAGGTACATACCCTACTTTCCTGCCAACCTCCACCTATAACCTGCTAGAACATAGAGTGGGATTCCAAGAGCAAGTTTAGGTGTGTTCAAGGGACTGTGTGCACCGTTTAATTTTTCACTGTTTTCCTCTTGAAGGGTAAACTGATTTAGAAGATCTTTCCCTAGCCATACCATTCTTTGGATCCAGACCAGAGCTTAGCCAATAATTGCACTGGTCTATGGAGCATGTTAAATGCCTTGCACAAAGACACTAGTACGGTTGTCTAAGTACAAGCATGAACACAGCACAGTAAGCTTTCGATGGTGCCACAGTTCTGGGGATAGCACCTTGTAGCACAGCTAGGGCCATTTTTTTGGCCTGTTAGCTGCTGTGCTGTTCATAGAAACAGGATCTTCACTGAAAAATTCATTGAATATCAATGGGGCACACAAATAGGTATCAAGACTATTAATTACCTAGCTTATAACCAAACATACTATTATTGGGCTGGGTTGTTTTTTTTTTGGAGGGTGGGGTGATATTTCCAATGAACCATTCTTGTGATGAGGAAAAAAATCTAACAGGAATTATAGAGTCTGAAGCATATTTTGCAAGTATTGATAGGTCGTGGGGGGACCTTTCCACCAATGGCTTTTGCATTCTGAATCAGCCCCTTTTTGGTGCGAAAACTTTGTATATTCCAAAAAGCTCAGTATTTTCAAATCCTGGAATAAAGCTACTCGTTTTCCACAATCTGGTGTCAGCTGGCAGTCCATTGAGTGCTGCCTTCACTACTCTTCAATACAATTAAATTAGGAAGTCATTGGCTAAACCGAATTTGCCCACAGATCCATAATCAGCAAGACATTTCTAGAATATGTGCTAAAGTTAAACCTGTGGTGAGATTCTTCAGTAGTCTGAGGTCTAAAGCAGGTACATGAAGCAGCATGCATGCAAACAGGACTTATTAGGGCTCGTCTAGACTTCTGCTTGTGCCACATTTCTAGGCCCAGCTCTAGCCTTTAAATTTCTGTGTCTGAATATTGGTTTTGCTTGTTTGTTTTTTGACCTGGTGCTTTCCCTGTGAAAACCCACATTATACCGCTGAATCAGAGCCAACAGCAATTGGGTTTTCCACAGATTACCATTTGCTCCAATTCGGCGGTAAAATGTGGGTTATCCCAGAGAAAGAGCCAGGGGAAAACAAAAAACAAAAAACACCCACTGGACACAGAGCTTTAAAGCACATAACTGTATCTGGAAAGGAATTCTGGAGGAGCCCTAAGTGCTACAAACTGCTGCTTCAACTTGAAGGAAATTCCAATGCAGGGAATGTTCCTCCTGATTGAAAAAAATAAAACATAAGCTCCTTGTTGTGTGCAGTCTTTTTCTTCAATTTCCTTGGGATGATGGTTATTACAAAAAATAAAATAAAATACATTCTGCTCATTTCAAGTATGTGTAATGCAGGAGTTGCCAGCCTTTTTTTTGTTTTGTTTTGTTTTGTTACAGGAGTCGTGCCTATGGGTGCATTAGGATTTCTGAGTAAGTGTTATGGGGTGTGCACCTCCTGACCACTTCTTCTCTTCCAGATCAGTGTCTCCCCACACCACAGGGACAGACAGTGTAGGCACACACAATTTGCTTTTCCAAGAAGCTGATAAAAGTTTGGTCCAACCTGAACCTTGAAAAACACACAGGGCTGAAAGGAAATCCAACAGATCATTGTACTTCCAACTTCCTCCTTCATCTTTTAAAGGGATAAAAGGTTAACAGCCATTGCCATTTCTTAATGAAGGACAGTGAGCTTAAAGGCTTCATTAGCACCAGGAAAATATTTCAAAGGCACTACAGTACTGTGCCCAAAGGCACCATGTTGGCAACTCCTAGTTAGTACATCTTAAATGTGAATCTCCACTACTTACCAACTGCTGCTTCTTTGCAATTTTCTGCCAGGTAATTCAGACATATCACACCATTGAACTGGGATATCATTAACAAAAGTTTATACCATAACTTATGAAGCAGTACCCTATTTTGTCCAGGCACAGTGGAATTATACAATCTATCCCACTTGCTTCTGCAAACACCTGGAAACCTCTTTACTTGCATAACACAGTTGTGCCTATACCAAGAAAGAAGGTCAGGTCTGTTTCAGTGAACCTCTAAAGGCATTGATAAAAATCCCTGTCAAGATTAAACTTGCTGTTATCATAATGGTGGTTTGCAGCTCAGACACATGATAGGTGGTGTCCCTTTGTGCCTACGCTAGCAGTATAAATCTCTGCTGCCCCAGTGCTGATACTCAAAATTGCAAAATTGATGCTGCCGACTTGTTGAAGTTAGTGCAAAACTAGGCACTACTTTGGTTGGTTTCCCCTTTCTTTGATTACAGGTTTAGGGGCCCCTGGAAAGAGAGGTTTAATCCTTTCCACCCCAGCACTGAGTGCAACAAATATTTCTCCATGCAGCAATTAGTCTCAAGGAAAAAGCTGACATTGGTGCCAACTGCAGCATGGGTGTGTATGGGATTGTGGCTGGGACAGGCAGGGGTTCATTTTTTGATAGACGCCTCTGAGCAGTGTTCAAGAAACATTGCAGACTGTCAAGAGAACACATGAAGTTTCTGGTTTTGATTTTCTGCAAATGTCAAAAGTATAGAATCTGACTGGGCCTAGGAAGAGAATCGCTGAAATATCACGAGGAAAATGACTACCAGAGTACTAATCTATTGTTATTATTTTAGAAAAGTTTATTTTAGAGCTTTGTTCGCTTCAGCTTTTATCGCTATGCATCTGGAAATATCTGCCAAGTCACTGTTTTTCCAGTGGTACATAAAGGTCACAAAGGAGCCTGCGTCAGATCTCTGAGGAGATTGGAGCTCTGAATCACCAGCGAGTAGGATCACCTCCAAAGCCTATCTGGATTGCATCAATCTCAATGCACTGAAATCCCTTGCAGTACAGTACTGAAGTACTTTCTCAAGCAGGCTGTTTTGCATTAAGGGAACAATTCATTTGTAGCATTGTGGTGAAAGCAAACCAAATACCCATTCCAAAAATTCTACTGATATACCCTGACAAAGAGGTTTGGAATGATTAATATTAGACAATACATTTTTCAACAGCCTAAAAAGCATCTCCTCCCCTACAGAAACCAGCACACTTTAACTGTCTTACATCTGGCTTTCAAAATACTAAAATGTTTTGCATTGGCTGGGGGGGAGGAAATAGTTGTCCCAATGGAGGACATGTAATAGGTGATATAGGTGGCTTGTAAACTTCAGTATGAGACATCAGCAATTTAAAGCATTGCTAGACATCATACATAATATACAGAGTCATGGGGGTTGCACATGCTTTGATGGAGGTACAAACCTCATTCTGGAGCCAAGTATGGATAACTACTTGCAGTCAGTCGACAGTGGAATGGCAGACAGCGATTCAGTACACGATAAGCACTGCTTCTGCTTTTGTCACGATTCCTCACAGGAGTAGTGAGTTTTGTGTGCGTATAGGAACTTACGTATTTTTACTTCAGCTCCATACATGCATCAGTGCATGTCTGTGGGGCTGTCTGTGCAAGTGGGACCCCTGTTTCAGAGTTGTGAAAATGAATAAACACAAGCATAGATAAGTACCCTGCCATTTCCCAAAGTGTGAAGAAAAGGTTGCAGGATTAGTCAAGCGATGAAGGGAAGGCACTGTGTGCATGCAGAGTCACAGAACTCCATTTCTGGATTGTTAGTAAACAGACACAACCAGAGGATATATAATCATCTCCTCCTCTGCCTTTATCAGAGGTTCACTAAATCATAGTTACAGGGGTGCAGGGCATGGTTCTGATGGATGCAGGAAGCAGGAACTTCAAATCTAAAGAATCCCAGTCAGAGAACCATCCTTCTAGGCAACTGAACTGCTCTTAGTGTTAATAAGTAATGTTCAACAGAAATCTACACTTTTTCAACTTCAAATCATTATATCTAGCCCTGCTCTCTGGGACAGCAAAGAACAAATCCTTGTCTTCATCTGTGTGACGGTCCTTCAAGTATTTGATGTGCAATCATGTCCCCAACTCAGGTTCTCCAAGATAAGCATACCTGTCCCTTCAACCTTTTCTCATAAACCTCACAATCCGGACCATTTCCTTTGCCATCCTTTGAACTGATTCCAATTAGTCTATGTCCCACTTAAAGTGTGGCACACTTGACATGTTTTTCTGCTAGGTAAACAGCAGATTCTACTATGTCAGTATGACACACTCCCAATGTAAACTTACTGCTGACTATAAACATTAAAGGGCCTACAAAATGAAAGTGAAATGGAGATATCTTCCTGTTAAATGCGATTTAGGCGACAACACTATGAACACTTACCAAGGCAAAAGACCTTTAGGGCTCAGTGGATCATAAGTCTTGAGTAAACATACATAGGATCAGATTCTTAAACAGCACTTGCACTGATCCTTTTCCTAATAATGGAGCTGGAAAAAGAAATCAAAGCTGCACTAATAGCTTCCTCCTGTTTTTAAAATCAAGGATGGAGAACCTGTGAGCCTCCAGATGTTCAAATCTAACTCTCATCTGCTCCAGAGATCATGGGCAATGGATCAGTGATGATAGGAGTTGTAGTCCAATAGCATGTTGAAGACCACAGGTTCCTCAACATCCCCGATTTAAATCATGAAAACTCAAAAGGGCAATAATTAGTTGTGTGCTTATACTTCTGTTAGTATCTCAAAATGAATGGTGCAAAAGTACTAATTAAACACAGATGTGGGATTGGTATTCATTATTTAGAGAGCAGACTGTTCTCTTGAAACATTTAAGGCACCAGCATAAAAAGATGACTAGAGCTGATACAAATATTAATCCAGAGTTCACATTAACAATGCAGGCTTGCATTTGTGATCATCCGTATCATCACTGTAGTGGACACAATGCCATTAATTGTGAATACATTCATTCCAAATACATTAATTTGTGAAATAAGGATATTTGCAAATAAATTCACTAACAAATGCTCTTCTGTTGGCCTTGTGAAGTTTTTGATACATGTAAACTTCAAAATATTGCAAAAGGAAACACTGACTGGTTAGAGGAAACAGTAAGCCTGCAAATTTATCATTGACAAATGTTCATGGTTTTGACATGTCATATTCAGATCAGCCCTAGAAATCAAGATGCAAAGAGCCAGTAATCCATTTTGACTGTTGTTCTAACCTCTTGGTATATAAAAGTTGTGATAAACACTACACACATTAATGATCCATGTTGTTCCATGACTCACAAGTGGAGGGAGAAAAAGAACTGATTTTATTTCCACATAAAAATTAGGTCTCTAATTTAGCATAGCTTGATATGCCATTGACAGCATTGGTAGATCTGTTTCAAAGCCCACTTGATATTTCTATTAATAGAAATAGGGCTGTCTGAAAACTACAACCGCAACAATCAAATGCCATAGAATCTCATGCACATATCATGCTGGAGATCTTTGCCACAGTTCCCACTGCCAACGACACAAATATCTGTTGTTTTCAAAGCCACTTGTCTCTTTAGCAGAGAATACTGCTACTGTGACACCAGGTGTTTGAACACATAACTGGCCAAAGTGTGGATAGCAGTTTGCCCCCAATGTCCTCACAAGTAACATGCCTCCCTGCTTGGATAAAGGGGAAAGCAGAAGTCCTTATGTGGGCTTCTGATAGTGGAACTAATTACAGTGGTACCTCAGGTTACATACGCTTCAGGTTACATATGCTTCAGGTTACAGACTCTGCTAACCCAGAAATAGTGCTTCAGGTTAAGAACTTTGCTTCAGGATGAGAACAGAAATTGTGCTCCGGTGGCGCTGCGGCAGCAGGAGGCCCCATTAGCTAAAGTGGTGCTTCAGGTTAAGAACAGTTTCAGGTTAAGTACGGACCTTCGGAACAAATTAAGTACTTAACCTGAGGTACCACTGTATCTGAATTCCACCTTATGTTGTTGTTGTTGTTGCTGCTGCTGCTGTTTGTATGTGTGACATGTTCTGCACCATGTACATGAAGGTGTCTCCTTAATGCACATCATTAATTTCTAGGAACAGACTAAAACACAATTACTACCCAGAGATGCCATTGTGGAATTAACTGAATTTCAACTCATTCATGTCCTATCACCATCTCATACATAAAGAGATGCATAATATGAGTGGATGTGATTGCAGGGAATTCCAGTGGCACAGGCCTTCTTGGGATGTGCCAATGCAGACCAGAAAAGGCTTAGATCCAAAAGATCTACTCCCAAACTGGGGACTGGGCTATGCCATCTCGGAAAGTATGTTTTCCAAAAAAGGGTTAAATTTCACAATTACGCAGTTTTATCTTGAAGC